CTTTACTTGGATGTCTCAAGGGCGTTTCAAATTTAATATGTTCAAAACAGAACTACTTTTCTTTTTTTTTGGTAGAGACAGAGTCTCACTTTATCGCTCTTGCTAGAGTGCTGTGGCATCACAGCTCACAGCTCTTGGGCTTAGGAGATTCTCTTTCCTCAGCCTGCTGAGTAGCTGGGACTACAGGCGCCTGCCACAATGCCCTGGCTATTTTTTTGTTGCAGTTTGGTTAGGACTGGGTTTGAACTCGCCACCCTTGGTATGTGGGGCCAGTGCCCTACCCACTGAGCCACATCACCTACTTTGTTATTCAAGTCAAAAGCCGAAAACCTCTAGATGCCATCCTTGATTTCTTCTCTTTGCTCCCTACATTGAATTGTTCAGCAGATTCTGAATTGCTTCCAAAAACAACCTCATTGGCTCCTCTCCATCTTCAGTGCCACCATTCTAGTTCATGCCATCCTTTTCAGCTTAGTCTTCTGGAATCGCCTCTTAACTGGTCTTTCCACTCACAGCCATGCTTCCCTTCAATCCATTCTCTGCATAGCAACCACAGTGATCTTTTATTTTATTCATTTATTTATTTGTACTTATTTTTTGACACAGGGTCTCAAGTGGTTGCCCTAGGTAGAGTGCTATAGCATCACAACTCACAGCAACCTCAAACCCTTGGGCTCAAGCGATTCTCTTGCCTAAGTCTCCTGAGTAGCTAGGACATAGGCGCCTGCCACAAAGCCCGGGTATTTTTTGAGATGGGGGTATTGCTCTTGCTCAGGCTGGTCTAGAACCTGTGAGCTCAGGTGATCACCTGCCTCGGTGGGATGGGATTACAGGCATGAGTCACTGTGCCCGGCCATTATAGTAATCTTTTAAAAAAGAAAGTCAGAGTGTATCAATTTTTTGCTTCAAAATCTTCAATGCTTCCTCACTGCATTCAGAATAAAATTTGTTTATTTTAAAATTTTATTTTATTTTTTTATGGTTTGAGAGCTTTCTCTGTTACCCAAGCTCAGTTTTGTGGCACTGGTCTAGCTTACCGCAACCTCAAACTCCTGGGTTTAAGGGATCCCTCTTCTTCATCCCCCTAAGTAGCTGGGACTACAAGTGCCAGCCACACACCCAGCTAATTTTTTTTTTTTTTGAGACAGGAGCCTCAAGCTGTCCCCCTGGGTAGAGTGCTGTGGCATCACAGCTCACAGCAACCTCCAACTCCTGGGCTCAAGCAAGTCTGCTGCCTCCGCCTCCCAAGTAGCTGGGACCACAGGCGCCCGCCACAACGCCCGGCCATTTTTTGGTTGTAGCCGTCATTGTTGTTTGGCGGGCCCGAGCTGGATTCGAACCCACCACCTTGGGTGTACGTGGCTGGCACCTTAGCCACTTGAGCCACAGGCGCCAAGCCCCATCTAATTTTTCTATTTTTATTTTATTTATTTTTGGGACAGAGTCTCACTGTGTCACCCTTGGTAGAGTGCCGTGGCGTCACTGCTCACAGAACCTCAAAATCTTGGACTTCAGCGATTCTCTTGCCTGGGCCTCCCAAGTAGCTGGGACTACCGGTGCCCCCCCACAATGCCCAGCTATTTTTTTGTTGCACTTGTCATTGCTGTTTAGCTGGCTCAGGCCAGGCTCAAACCCGCCAGCCTTGGTGCATGTGAGTGGCGCTGTAACCACCATGCTACAGGCACTGAGCCAATTTTTCTATTTTTAGTAGAGATGGGGGTCTTGCTCTTGCTCAGGCTGGTCTAGAACTCCTGAGCTCAAGGGATTCTCCCACTTCAACCTCCTAGAGTTCTAAGATTATAGGCATGAGTCACTGTGCTGGGCCTAAAATTTAACTTCTTGTTCTGGCCCACGTGGCCATGGAGCACCTGGCTATCTGTCCAACCTCATCGCTTCTCTCTCTCACTTACCACTCTCTGGCTACCCTCGCCCCTTTTCTCTTCCCCAAGCCCTTGCCTGCTACCAGACTTCCGCGCTCTCTTCCCTCTGCCGGGAATGTTCTTCCCTTTCGTTCTTTTTGCATGAGTTGGCTCATTAGGCTCTTCCTTCAGGTCTCATCTCAATTGTCACCTCTTACAATGGCTTTCTCTGGCTCCCTGATCTAAAATATTCCCCTCACCCCCACATAAGGGGGTGTTTCTTTAAGGAAAGACCATGCTTCTAGGTACCCTCGTAACATTACCACGTGTACTTACCTAACTTATTTAATTCATTTACCTATTTACTGACTGCTACCCTCACTAGATCATAAGCTTCATGAAGGTGGGGACCTTATCTGTCTTTTGTGTCACTATGTCCCCAGCACCTGGCAGTTGTTGAATAAGCACACAAAGCCCATCTTCTCAATCTATCTCAAACACCTTTTGTTTGCTTCCATGTCTTGACACTGCATACACCCTGCCCCCAACCTGCGGTGCCTTCCTCCCTAATCTTGACCCTTAGTATCCCCTCACTTCCTTCAAAACTTAGTGACTCACTACCTCCCCCAAAGCCTTACTAATCCCTCGGCCCTTTAATACTTTATTCAGTAAGTATGCATTGAGCTCCCCGACAATCTTGTAATAGTTGATAGCTACATCATCATGCCTTGGCTTGTATCTGCTTTATCATCGTAGTCAGCTGTAAGTTTATTTTAGAAACAGAACTAGTTTTAGAGTTGTTCTGAAATTAGAGAAATGAGGCATATCCTTTTTCTCATTTAATTTATTGGAAAAAAATCAAAACTATAGCTCAGAAAACATTCTATTGAAAAAAATCAAAACTATAGCTCAGGCTCGGCGCCTGTGGCTCAAGTGGCTAAGGTGCCAGCCACATACACCTAAGGTGGCGGGTT